ACGAGGATCTGACACATATCACATATGTTAATAATTTTCCGAACATAATACTTTCTATACATTGTCCATCAAACTTCACGTGAAAAATCAGTCGCGCGGGCACGCCAAGAAAGTTGAATGTGGTTCTACTTTCATGGCGTGTCCGCGAGCAGTCAGGCGGACAAAAAATGCACAGGATAGATAACTACAGAGAAAGTTGAGTAATGTTCGCTCCGCCCGCGCGGGCGACTGCAATGGAAAGTGGCCTTTATGGCCTTGACAGACAATCATGCCCATAGATATCTTATATACACTAGATAGCGCATCTCCTTTAGTAAAATTGAAGCCAAGAATATTCCAGCGGTTACCCCCATTTGAATAGATGGCGGCCATGTTGGAGTTTCCCACTTGCTAATAAACGCTTAAAAAACAACAATAACTTTCATCATTTGAATAGTTTAAAAATGTATTTGGAATAAGTTTAACTTAATGTTTAAGTTCCCTGTTTAAGAAATAGAAAACATACCAATCTTTTCATTTCATGGGAATATCCTGAGCCTGCAATCACGGCTTTAATTTTTGAATTGCAGAATAATTAGATGCACTATCTAGTGTATATAAGATATCTATGATCATGCCGAAAATCACAAATAAACAAAGTAACTGCACAGAAGGGGTTGAAGGCAACGCTGAAGGCCCTGTGCACATTACAGAAGGACGAGAGTGGACAAAGGAGTCCAATTAACAAACTACTTATCAAATGTCACCTACGGAGTGAACAAACGAAACGAGGATTCAGAAAGAGAATGCTGGCTATTTGAAATGATAGAGGACTGTTTAGTGCCACGGAACAACAGCTGGCTGGGCAAGTAAGGTTTGGTTGAATATATAATTTTGGCTGAATATATAATTTTTCGCAGCGATTCAGTTTTTTACTAACCAGTCGCATTACCGAAACTTTTTCCGGTTTCGTGCAAACAAATCCGTCCAGTAGGAAACGGGATTAAGATTCAAGGCGTGAACATTCATCAGGCGAAAATTGAACCCTGAAACTATTTTTGCCAGCCTTAGTGGGGCGGTATTGTGGAATTCACTTCCTGCTGAGTTGCGGCGGTCTATACTAGCTACCTTACCTAAATTTAAGTCAGACCAGGGCCTTTTTTAAGGATTTTTCCGTGGGGGGGGGGGGGG